CTAAGAAACTCCAGATAGCTTATGATTAGAGATCAGGAATTATAAATTATCTAGAGTTAATCCAGCAAGGAGGAGCTAGAGTTCAATGGAAATACATTGTTCACCATCTTTTGGGCTTTTCTTCTTCTTTTTTACTGTTTTCCAGATATTTATTAAATGGGTTGGGTTGAAAGCCCACCTGAGATAATATATTTCACAATGAATGAGACTAGTTTTCTTGGAAATTCCATTTTGGAATTTGTACACAATGAATTAAAAATACAGGAAAAATACCTTACACAGCAATCTGGGGAATGAAGATGGCAAATTAAATAATAATTATTATTGTTAAATTTATTTGCCACTTATCTTGTCATGGGCTACTCTAGGTGTCTTACAACTAAAAAAATAAAATAGAAAGGAAATTTAAACAAAGCAAAAGTAAATTAATAGAACAACAAAACAAGGAAAAAGAAAACAAAGAATATAAGAGTATATTTATGTTCTTTGTTGATATGCTTGATGTGGGCCCTTCAAATCATCATATGGTGAATAGCCTTTCTCACATATTTGAAGTTATAGGCATGTTCAGGTATTTCCCTGAATTGTCCACCACTGTGGTTTTGTGTTTTGGGCAAGTATCATGATTTTCCTTCCCCCTTCCCTTCCCTTCCTCTCCCTTCCCACTAATAAACAACATGTTCTTCCTACATTATTGGAGTATAGCTATTATGGCTCTCTTAAGGCTATCTGGATTATGTGGATTGATTGCTGCATTATCACATAACAAGATAGTAATATTAAGGCAGGCAAGCAAAAAGGATGGAAATTTGACTACTCATAGACTTTGGTCATAGAATGAATTCAGGAATTGACTAGTACCAGAAGGCATCCCTGCTTAACCCCTTTCTGGAATTTTGAAAGCAGATTTTGTGGATTACATCTTATTCTTAGGGAGGAATTACCATAAGGTTTTTAATGGGGAAAATTAGCCACCAAATAATGGATGAATACTTAGGTTTATTACATAAAATTATTTTCAAATAGGATTCAAAAACATAACATAAATATTTAAAGTCTAAAAATGCCTCATATAAGGAAAACTGGGGTTTATGAATGTATTTTCCTATTACATGGCATGAAACTAAAATTTGGTTACATGTTGAATATCCAAACCTGAAGACTATTCATCTCTTCATCTTCAAACTCCAGCCAATCTTTAATGTTTGATTTAGGTGTTTAGTGTATGATTGTGTATGATTTTGTTCAATAAGATGATAATGGTAGTAAACTAGTGCAGCTGGATCATTTTTGCATAAATGTAAACAATTATTACTATAATTCAGAATATGGGCAATGTAATCTAATTCTTTGAGGCAAAACTCTTTATAGAGTACAAGTAGGAATCTGCATAAAAAGAAAGGCAATCGTGACAGCTCAGACTATATTTTTTTGCCCATGGATGCTTAACCAAACTACCACTTACACTAGAGGTGGCCAATTTAGAAATGAGAACTAGAAAACTGTCATTATTTTATTTATTGCCATAAATTTATTTTGGCTTTATAAAAGAAAAATTGAATTGAGGTTGTATTCACATAGGCTTTTGGCAAAGTTCCATACATTTATTGATTGGGAGCTGCCAAGGCACAAGGCAATCATTTGCCTAGTTGATTAGAAAATGGGAAACTGGGCAAATTATGTATGTATGTATGTATGTATGTATGTATGTATGTATGTATGTATGTATGTATATAAATAAGTAAATAAGTAAATAAGTAAATAAGTAAATAAGTAAATAAGTAAATAAGTAAATAAATAAACAAAATAAACAAAATAAACAAAATAAACAAAATAAACAAAATAAGTAAAATAAATAATAAAATAAAAAATAAAATAAATAATAAAATAAATAAAATAAATAATAAAATAAATAAAATAAATAAAATAAATAAAATAAATAATAAAATAAATAAAATAAATAATAAAATAAAATAAATAAAGTCTTCTGCAAATCGTTAAACTTATAGAAACTCCACAAGCATCTGAACAGAAATCACAGAACAAAGGTTGAGTTAAAAATTCCAAATGGGAACCAGTTTTGAATGATGCTTATCTTTGTGGCTAGTTATTATGTTCTCCCATTTGTGCTTTTAAAAAGATAAATATTTAAATTTAAAAGTTAAAACTGCCCATGTACATCAGGAGAAACTGAAATGCAACTGAAAAGTTGTATTTTATTATTCTGCTATTTTATAAGACTTGCACTTAAAATAAATTCATACTATACTACTGAATTTCCCAGGCAGATTTCATGAATTTTATATTATTCTGCTCTATTCGCATATGTAATATACCTGTATATTACAACAGGTAGCTGCCAGCTAACAGAACAACAAATCATTCAACATGATTCCTTAGATGTTATGACCACTGATTAATTGAGAGAGTTCTACAAATTTGTGTTTCATCAATTTATTTATAGGTTGATTTTATAGTTTGATATGCTTTTAAAGTATTTTAGCTGCATTTTGACTGAGAGGAATTGTTACTAATTTTACAGAGCCTAGCGGCACACACAGATACAAAAACCTTACTGTGCTTTAATTTGGTTAGCCCTTGAGGTACTGGTTTGTAGAATTTTGATAATATAGAGCTTTGCTGTAAAGCTGACAATGATAAATAGATATGAGTAAACTTTGATTTGTTTTTGTTGTTATAATTCTGATTAGTTTTATGATCAATGTATATCATACTTATTAAGCTGAAAAAACTTCTTTATCCTTGGCTTTAACAGTCTGTGGTCTTCGAAATAACAGATCATTAGGATCATCAAGAATTACTGGAGGAGTATCATCTGTAGAATGGCCCTGGCAAGCCAGTCTCCAGAGAAACAAAATCCATCGTTGTGGTGCAACATTGATCAGCAACACATGGCTTCTGTCTGCAGCACATTGCTTCAGAGAGTAAGTTTTGAAATGAGAATAATTATGATATATTTTAATTAATATACTAAACAGCTTTGGTTAATGTCTAAAATTAAACAATTCAAAATACCTGTATTTTTTGGAATATAAGACGTTCCAGAGTATAAGACGCACATTAGTTTTTAGAGAGGAAAACAAGAAAAAAAATCTGCCTCTGCCAACCAGCATCCATAGTTATTAATCTGGCTAGAATCCTTGCAGCAAATAGCAAACAGCCTGGTCAGCTTCAGCATGTTATTGCAGCCTGATTCAGCATGAGCAGCTGATTGGCAGTTGGATCAGCCTCCTGTTCCAGCCTGCAGGTATCTCCACAACCCACCACTATCTCCATGTGTCACATTTTTGGCCTTAGGGCATCACATTTTTGGCTACTGCATGTCGTGTTTTTGGCTACCGCATGTTCCGTTTTAGACTCGTTCCAGGCTGCCGGGATTGCCACCACATATCACTGTCAATCGCCACCTCTGTGTGTTGTATTTTCAGGCAGTTCCAGGTGGTGGGGACCGGCAGCGGCGGCAATCCCCACCGCCTGGAACCAGGCTGAAAATGCAATGTGTTGAGGCGGCGATTGGCAGCAATGTGCTATGGCGTTCCCTGCAGCCTGGGATGGGTCTAAAATGGGGCGTGTAGAGGCCAAAAATGGCTGAAGAGTGGGGGCCAGCAGGTGCGTGGGGCTTTGGCAACATTCGCTGTATAAGACGCACAGACATTTCCACCCACTTTTTGGGGAGGGGAGTGCATCTTATACTCCAAAAAATACAGTATATGACAATGGAGAAGGCTTGAAGAAGATGGCCTTCGCTAGAAACATATATTATGAGGCAAATGCAAAATTCTTAGAATTTTATTTGCCTTCTTGAGGGAATAACCATCTCCAGAGAAATGTCTTCACCTTTTCCCTTTCTGAAATATCGTTCCATAAACAACATTCTTTCTTCTTAGCATGTTGTCTTCTACAAGTCTCTGCCTCAGAATACGGGGGGTAAAGAAAGTCTAAAGAAACCATAATAAGTCTTTGTTATTGCACACTGGATCTCTTATAAGCAGCCTTCTTGTGTTCCAGAAAATGTTGATTTAGGAATACATGGTTTGAGATTAAATGCTTATCATGACAGACATTGGGATCATGGCAAAGGAATAAGCAACAGTGGATACCAACCAGTTTTGGACTCTGAATGTTTATGACATGCCGCACATCTGTTTTAAAGTACTTCTGAATATTAGAATGTCTATTTGAATCTCTTGTATGAGAACAAATATAATGTACATCCATTCCTATGGATTTATTATGCAAATATATTTTTCAGTAATATATTTTTGGTAGAATTGTAGATAATTCACAGTGACATTTCTCTTTTTTGTTTGTTTTCAGAGCAAAAAGTCCACATAAATGGACAGTTAGCTTTGGAACCTATTTAAGACCTGCTCTAATGATACGGCTTGTCAAAACAATTATAATTCATGAAAAATATCGGAATACAGGCCATGAACATGATATTGCTGTTCTGCAGTTGACTAAAAGTGTAGACTTTACAAGGGCTATTCATCGAATTTGTCTCCCAGATTCAAATGAAAGGATTCCATATAATATTGATGCTGTGGTTACAGGATGGGGAGCACTTAGTAATGAGGGTAAGCATGCCAATTTAGAAGACTATTGTATTTTATACTAATCATGAATTATACATTTTAGATATAGAGAAAGAAAAAATTATTCTTTTTTGAATCAGGACAGATATTTGTCTATCATTTGCCAGCCTTATCTCTGGAGTATTCCATATATGTCCATATATCTATACTTATAATTTATTTCTTTTTTGTTTCAATAAAATGATATGCATATGGTTAAATTCTTAATATTCTTTTATTATTGAGACACCCTAGAGCAATGATGGCTAACCTTTGTGCCATCGTGTGCCAAAAGCTGGGGGAGCACAGGGGGGTCGTGCATGGGCATGCCCACACTCATAATTCTATGCATGATGCCCCACGTTCATGTGCGTGAATCCCCCCTTCACATGTGCATGTGACCTCCTCCCTCCCTCCCACTTTTGGCATGTGATAGACCCATTTTTCACCCTCACCAGGTTCCAGAGGCTTTCTTGGAGCCTGGGGATGGTGAAAACGGCCTCACCCACCCCCAGGAGGCTCTCTGGAGGCTCTTTGCTATCTCCCGGATTGTGATGGGGGCGAGCTGAGCAGCCTGATCTTGGAAGTGGTGGCTGTGGCCGATGGGCTTGGCCCTGGGCTCTCACTCTGCCTACCCAGGAAACAGAGCCCAGGGAGGTACATAATGGCTGTTTTGGAGGCAACGGACCCAGAACCTTCCACTCGCATCTGCAGCAGCAGTGCCTGCCGCTCCCTGCTGCCTTCTGTGGCAATGGAGGGAACCTCTCCTCTCGATGTGGCAGCCGTAGTCACACGGTCCTGGCCCAATGTGTCATGACCTCCCCGTTCGACCAAGGGCAACTCACCTGCACCGGGAGGCCTTCCTGGGTCTCACTGGTGATGGATGGTCGGTTACGGGCACTCCTCCAGCCCAGGCACATGCCTTTGAGGCTTTGGGGCTTCCAGAGCAGCCCATGTGGCTCTGGCTGTGCCTCAGCTGGTGGAGTGCCCACAACCACCCACCCATCACCAGGGGGAACGCCAGCACTGCCAGGAGTCTTCCAGCGCAGGTGAGCCACACTTGACTGGGCAGGGTGGTCACAAAGCTTCGGGCCCAGAGTGGGCCAGCCTCAGACAGGGTCCGCAACTTGGGAGTCCTCCTGGACCCACAGCTGAGTTTCGACCACCACTTATCAGCTGTGACCAGGGGGGCATTTGCCTAGGTTCGCCTGGAAAAGCCAGGCAGGGGATGAAGGCACTGCAGTCCTCCGCCGCACCATGATGGGAAAATGCTGCCCCTGCAACTTCCAGAGGAAAGCCTCCGGAGGGCAAAATATGGCTGAAAATGAAGGCCAAAGTCAACTGGCGTGTGCGGGAGCTGCCAGGGCAACACCTTGTGTGCCCTAACAAATGGCTCCGTGTGCCACCTGTGGCATGCGTGCCATAGGATTGCCATCATGGCCCTAGAGTATTGGATATAAAGAAGAGAGAAAAAAGTGAATATTCTGTCAATAAACCTTTGACAGTTTAGGATATCAGTGTTATGAGTGTGCTGTCCCAACAGCATATAGCTAATGTAGGAATTAAGAACTGTCTCCTTTAAGAAACTACCTCATGGGAAATGTAACTACTTTATGAGAAATGTAGGCAGAACTGCCTTGTGGGGATGTAGTTCCATAACATGTGACCACATCCGTGTTCCCTGATTGGGCAGCGGGGTACTCTACCCGGGAAAAGTGATTTATTACTGGTCACTCTCTGAATCGCCCTTTATCTACCAGAAAGCAGTCTTGCACCAGCAGCATGGGTTAGAGAAAATTAATGTCTTTTTACATCACATAATGGAACCAGATTAAAGAAGTCAGAAGAATCTTAACACTGACCTGTAAGTTTTGCTATTAAGAATGCCTGATAATAAATTTGATCTGAAAGAGATTCCTACGCGTGGAATTAACTGGCTGCCCGAGCGAGACCTCATTGCCTGGGACAGAACAATGAGTATTACGATTATTTGGCTTTTTTATTCAAAGATAAGTATAGCATTGGAAAGGAAGAGATCTTTGATAAAGTATACCACTATTTGCTTCTGATTTCATGTTTATATGTATAGTGTGGAGAGCCTAGTTCATAGGCATTTTCCCAAGTTAGTATTCATATTTAGTTACATGTGTATTTCATGGACATATGTGCAGGCAGTTTTAAGTATAATATTTTTGCAAATATGTTAGCTTGTACCTGTTCCCCAAATAATTAATGTAGGTAAGAAAATTAGTTGCAGGGAGATAGAAAACAAATGAGACTAAGGAAGGTGAAAAAATATTGTAAAAATTGAGAGAGAGAAAGCAAGTGATGACAGGAATTAACAGAGAAAGATTAATGCAAAAGAAACCATTACAAGGCAACAAGAATTAGATTGGCATCCAGAAAGAGTATTAAGTTGGCTGTCCAGACATTGATTTATTCTTACCTTTTCTATATCATTGTGCAAGAATGTAAACATTAATTAGCCATCTTAAACTTGTCAAGGTTTCACTTAATGAGGAGGGGATAGGAGGCTTTCCTTTCTTGAAATAGCATGAAACTGTTCCACCAGTTTTCAGCAATAATAGCTTAGAGTACAGCAAGATTTTGTGATTATGGGGATACATGCTACTGAACCTTTTATATTTGGAAATTTGGAGAAGCTGTTTAAATATAAAAATATGGAAGCAGGCAAACTCAAACCTTCACAAACCTACCCAAATCCATCTGTATATCAGCAATCAATATGGCTCCACATATTTGAAGCTACAGATAGTCCTTGAGGTATGACCGGGCATTTAATAAACACTAGACATTAAAACAGAAAAACATAAACATCCTGCAAAAACTACATCTAACCTCATTTCAAAGTTATAATGGCTGCAGTGACCATGTAATCCTTTACCTTTATGACTAATCATAGAGACCCTGCAGTACTCCCTGCTTCTCTCCACCATCCTATCTTGTTGGGACTCTGCAACTCTTGGGCCTGTTCTCCACACACCCATCATCCATCACACTTAACCTTTTGAAGATTTCTGGACATACATCCATGAACTGTAGCCACATCCATGAATTGCTGCCACTTCTGGAATTGCATAATGTGATCAGATGATAAATCAATCCATTTTGCTGACTTAACATAGTTTGTATAGCATTACAGAAGCTCTCTGCAGCTTTCAGGAACTTCTGCAGCTGTGGGAAGACCTCAGACACCATGTGACAGGGACCCAAAAACAACTGCCATTTTGAAGGCTGGACAAAATGGCAATTGCTTCTGGAATTGCCCAGGCAGCTGTGCACTGAAGTGATCTATTACATCACTCTGGAAGACCTTGGAACTCTTCAAAAGATAAGTGAGGAGATGGTATTTGGCTTGGTGGGGTGAGAATCAGGCCTAAGGCTTGGAAAGACTCAGTAGGGAATGGGACCCAAAGGATAGGAGGTAGAGTATTGGGCATCTCAGGTAGTGGGAAGGGCTTGGAAGGACCAAGAGCCTCCCCTCCCCTACATTCCTACCCAAGGCATCCCATGCTTTGCTTAATGTTTACCATTTAATAATTCATTGGAGAGAGCAGGGATGAGAGGGGTCATTCGATAAGACACTTAACAACTTTTGTAACATGCAACTGTAATGGTCAGGCTCCATTACAGGACTACCTGTATATGTAATGCTTACGTTTCAATCACTCATTCAGCAATAATTTAAAGTTAGAATGGTGCTGGATAAAGGGGATTTATGACCAGTGCAGTTTTAACTCTTGCAGTGTTCCCATGACACATGCTCACATTCCAGACAGTCCGAGTCCAGCTTGTGATTGTGACATTGCAGTGAGTCATGATCATGTGATTGTGGTTAGTTACTACTCATCCAAAGGTGGGCTTCTACTAGTTCGCCCTGCATCGAGCCCCTGTACGCACAAGCAAACTGATAGTAAAATAAATTTAAACCCTCCACGGTACTCATCCTTTCCTTTCTAATATCTTTTAAAGAGAAAATTCTGCTATCTTCTCCTAATCTTTATTCAGTACATATATTTTTCTAACAAAAAATCCTATTTAGCGCTTAGAATAATAATTTATTTAATACTGTCACTGTTAACAGGAAATTATATTCTTTGATTGGGTAACATGCTTAACCATAGAAAAATTAGATTCAGATTAAAAAATTGGGTGTGACAACAGTAAGGAGATAGTATGAAAATACGTATTAATATGTTGGTGGGCTTGGGCCTCTGATGGGGCATATAAAGCTGGAGGTGGTTAGTTGAGTGAGAGACAAAAGTCCCCATAGCATCCATAATCTTAGTTTTGAACTTTTATTTGATATTGTGCTTTGTTATTAATTTTAATGCTTTTATAGTTATGCTTTTTTTACACCATTGTAAATCACCCAGAGTCACTGGTAATACATGAATTATATAAATTTAACAAACAAGCAAATACTGTATGTGCCAAATAGGTTTTTTTATGCCTTTCCTGTGCTAGTGCAAATAATCTGGGAGAATAACTTGATATTTCTATTCAGGTGAAACCCCTAATGTCCTCCAGGAAGCAACAGTAAAGCTCATAGACACCAAAGTTTGTAATAGAAGGGAAGTGTACAATGGGGCAATAAAACCTGGAATGATATGTGCTGGATATCTTGAAGGAGGAATTGATTCCTGTCAGGTATGTTTACATCTTATCTCAACCAGTGGGCTAAAAATGATCCAGTGTTATTCAATTTATTAATCCAAGTACTCCAATTTTGTACAATACTAATTATCTTGAATCTGTCAAAATTAGTCTTATCTTCTAGTCTTTACAAAAAAAACTCTGAACCACAATGCGCATATTCTCCCCCCCCTCTACATAGACAAACACACACACACACACACACACACACACACACGCGCACAGAGAGAGTGAGAGAGAGAGAGAGAGAGAGAGAGAGAGAGAGAGAGAGAG